CCATCTGTATAGATATCATCATCTACATCCAGAAAGTCGTATGCTTTGGAAGAAGCTTGTACAATTTGGGAAGGGGTTTTGATTGATCAAAAGAAGAATCTGAAAGAAAAAATAAACCTTTTTGGAGAGAGCGGGTGGGGTGGGTGTGGGGTGAATTAGTGAAGGTGAGGAAGGTTGAAAAGGAGTTTTGGAAAATGTTTACTCATTCTCTTGACAAGGAAAACATTTTCCTCCAATTGGAGAAAAATGAGTTCACAAAGAAAATGTTTTCCAAAACATTTAAGCCAACTAAACATGAAAAAATTAAAAAAGTTGTCTCTGTGTGATTTATGAGTCAAGAGTTCGAATTATGAAAGCCAGTTACTAATGCTTACATTAAATAGGCTGTCTACATCATACCCTTAAAATACGACTCTTTCTGCATTTTACTTAAACATGAAATACTTTGTGCACCGAACTGCTCGCCCTGTCCTATATTTGAAGGCCAATGGTTCCAAGTTGTTCTCATTACGTAATAAAATTGGTTGAGTGCATTATTTTTAGAAAGTCCCTTTCGAAGCTTTTGTTTCCTTGCCCATCTTAACCACAAAAATACAGTAACTTTAACCGTCCAAAAAGGACTTTTACAAATATGGACAACTTATCTCAAACCAAATTCCCACTTGACTTCTCTTACTCATCACCTTCCAACTTAGATTTAATATTACACAATTTTCCCGAACCCCGTTCATATCGGGAGCTTAATATATTAACAGTAATAGACTCAGAATTTTATGTAAACGGGTTCAATTTTAAAAGTACATTATTTTAGTTGTAAAATAATAGTTGTTAAGTAGGTTCAAATAAAATATTTATACAAATTTTATGCAGCTTTAATCGTAATTTATACATATACACAATATTGTTTTTTATGATGTAAGTTCAGTTGAACCCGTTTACCACCACGTGCGTCCGACACGGTGTACCGAGCTGCTTTTTTTTCATCCATAAACAGTTAAACAACTAATTTAATCAGATTAGTCAGTTCAAGATGTGTTAGGTAGGAGTTACCTTATATATCAAACTACTAAATTGCAATTATGTTTATTTGAATTTGAAGCCATAAATCATAAGTTAATGAGGATGCCTTATTTCATGATATATTATGGTCATAGACCAAATCAAATTATTTTCATAATCATCTACTTATATTATAAATTTGCTTCAAACAAAACATGAGAAGGCCTTATATTTTCATAATGGAAATGCTTAGAAATGTGGTTCGGCATAATCGGTAAAGTTACGGACATGTGATTAGTAGGTCACGAGTTCGAGTCGAAATACATGATAAGACGATATATATTAGACCCTTATAATCCAGTCCTTCTTCGAACCCCGCGCATAACAAGAGCTTAGTGCATCGGGCTATTTATGAGAAGGAAGACAACAACAGACACCAAATTGGCTGATATACTTTTTCATTGTTACACATCAATTCTTTTGATAATATGATATAATAAAATAAAGTAATAATTAAAATAAATATTATATTAAAAGTAATAATATAATGAGTGCAAACAATTAATATATGGTGACACTTGAGATGAAGTGAATCAGGGACGGTAGAATATTAGCTTACAGATTCGGCCGAATCCAATAGTTTTGATTCAAACTTATTTGTCTAACGAAATTCATTGAATAATGTATAAATTATTAATTTAAAAATTCAGTAAATTAAAAAGGACTAAAATTCTGAAATCATAAACTTTAAATCTTGGCTCCGTTGAAGTAATTAATGAACTAAATAAAATAAAATGTAAGGAATCTAAAATATTCCTCAAGATTCAAGGAATCAATCCAAATCCAATAACACTACTGAAATTCACTTACCTTATAAATACAAAAATAAAATTCACAGTCAAACTCTCTTTATACTTTTTTCAATTTCCTAATCAAATACGTAATCTGTCTTTAACTTGGCGCCACCACAAAGCAATGCGATTGGAAAACGGCGACGATCGATCCACGTGTCACCGTATTGAAAACTCCGGCGGTAGCGCCGACGGTTTGACGGAGAATTTTTCTCCGGTAATTGACGCCGGTGAAGGACTATTCGTTCCGCCTCTCAATTTCTCTATGGTTGATTATGGTGTTTTTCGGTCTGGTTTCCCTGATACTGCTAACTTCTCCTTTTTGCAAACCCTAGGCCTTCGCTCTATCATGTTCGTTCGTTCGTTCGTTCATTCATTCATGTGTTTGTTACTTAAAGTTTCCTTTTAAAAAAAAAAAAATATTTTAACGATGTTATTGTTATTGATTTTTCTTTGTTTAAATATGTAGCTATTTGTGTCCGGAGCCATATCCTGAAGCGAATGTAGAGTTTTTAAATGCGAATGGAATTCGGCTTTTTCAATTTGCCATTGAAGGATCCAAGGTATGATATAGAATGTTGCGATCATGCTATCTCGATTTGACCAAAAAAAGAGAGGAAAGAACTGAAAGTTTACTAAAAGAAGACCTTTTGAACTATTTGTAATGTGGAAATCGTGAGAGTTGTGGTTGATGTTAGAAGCTATATGATCATTATCTGATATATCAGTGCATGAAGCTGTTATAATTCATTGTTTTTTGCATAGACTAAATAAATTTTGGAATATAACCCCAAGTTGTCGTTTCAGAAATACATACATAACTCTCCGGTACCTATGTTGATCAGAGTAGGGTTGTGCATAATTTGGTAAATACCGAATTGCTGTACCGAAACCGGAAATTTTGGTATTCTGTATTCGATTTTTTGGTATTCGGTATGGTATTTCGTTTAAGTTTTAAAAAAAAATTGGTATTAGGTATGGTATATGATATTTTAAAATGAAATATCGAAATACCGATACCATACTGAAATATATATTATATTACACAATACATATTTTATTAATTATAACTTAAATATAAGAAATCTAAAATTTTAGTTTCCTTTATTCTCTAAGTTCGTCAATTAACTCTAAGCAAGCAACAATATATTTCTCTAAGTTTTCTCTCTCTAGGTTGGTATTTGCTGATTTTGGACAAAACTTTTGTCAATAGACATTTTTAGTTTTGTACTTTTGAGTACTTTAATTAAGAATATTACCGTCTATGGCTCTATGCACTAGTTAGTATTCAAACCGAATAAGCTTAAGTCACCAAACCGAATAAACCGAAACCGAAAGGAGAAAAACCGAACCATACTGAATTTTATTAGTTACGGTATTGGTATAACAATTTACAAAACCGAATATCGAAAATACCGAAGCGAAATGTCTAAATATTGTACCGTACCAACCGACGAACACCCCTAGGTCGGAGGTATTAGGTACCCGGTGGAATAGTTGATTAATTAGGTTAAGGAAAATGTGAGGCGACCCTATTAAAGAGAGCATTAAGGATACATTGACTCTCTTGGATTTCATGTAAGTTCAAGCCGGCCTGAACACCACGGTCATTAAAAAAAAGTACAGACATAATGTATAGTTAAGCTTTTCCTCAGTCCTCTGCCAAACTATCCCAATAATCTATACAAGTTGTAAGCATTAGCAGAAGGACTTGTTTGAAGATTATAATAAAAATAATTGATTCACTCTTTATCTTTATGTGATATCGGCTGTTGGTGGAAACACATTGTTTTTGCTCTCTAATTAGGTAAGTGACTTGTTTTGGAGCTATAACAGAATGTAAAAGTGGGGGTTAGTTGACTGGTTATCGAGAAGAAGCCTATTTATTGACATGGATACTTAATCAATCTGTTTGTTCTCATCCTTAATTGTTCCTTGTTTGAAGTTATTCTGATTTGTATAGCATGACAGGGATTCATCAATATTTTCTGACTAAAATGGCATTAGGTTGCTTTTTTCTTCAATGACCAAAGTCAAAAGGTTTTGTGGTATTAGTTTGTAGGAGATGGGGTTATAAACTTTGTGGTCTCGGATATTAGTCAGTTAGCAGTCCGTTGGAGTAGTCACCGGAGTGACCCTTGGTTTTTCTTTTAGTTGTGCAAATGAACTAGATATTTGGCCTTTGTGGCTCAGACTCTAAAGAACTAGTTTAACTGTTTAAGTCATGCTAAAGTCTTTAACTTGTACTTGAGGTTTTCTTGTTTTAAACTGCAGGTTTTTCACGTTTTATATTCATCAAATAGGAGTTGAGGTTGTTCTGTATGTGATAGGAGTAAAGAACACAAAAGTATGTGATGTGTCTGTTTACAGATTGCTCAAGGCCTATAATATGTTTAAAGTTTTTCACCACAGAATCTTGTCACTTGCAGCTTCATGTTGTATTTTTTATTCTATGTTTCTCTCAAGGATCTAGTTACTTAAAATTCCTCTCTCCTCTTAAATTGCACTCTGCTTTTACAACAAATGCGAGTATAGCTACAGCTTCTTATACTGATTCCTTCTCAACCACCACTCAACATTACTTGTCGCAGTTCATACTTCATAAGGTCCTGCTGCATCTAGTGCTACTTGATCATTCTTAGCCCTTAATTTGTTTTCCTTCTATTTGTTTTTACTATATTTTAGCTTTCCCCGGTTCTTGATGCATGAACCAAGCCATGATGCATAATTGTATCTAGGGAATTAGAAAGGTCAATTGAATTATACTATCATTGGGTTTAGATCTTCAGTTTGTGAAATATTTCCCTGGTTTCAGTAGTGTTACAGTACAGGTAATGCTGCAACCAAAAAAATTCATAATTCAAGAGAGGAGGTAGGGAGTTTCTTATGGATTCCCAATGTCTCAAGAAAAATTGTCCAATTTGCGCATTCTAAGTGAGGTTAGGTGTTTATTGTAGTAGTTGATCCTGTTGGAGCTTTGCACTTCCTTGGAGAAAATCTTCAACTGTTGCGTAGGAGATAAAGAAATTCATCCACTAGCAAAAGCCAATATGTAATTGCGTTCTTTTTTAATTCACCAGTAGCAGGTCATATTAGCTGTAGGGCTCTCCAAAATTTGCTTATCCCAACTAATTGGATTGCTAAACAGGAAGATAACTAGATGATTGACTGAGGAGAAAAAAAGGACGATTCTGTAGGTTTCTCAAGTTTATTGCTGTTAGTTTGTCATATCTATAATGTTATTTGATATATATATCAAGTCTTATGTGTTATGACTGTTTTTCTTTTATTACCTTCTTATCTTGAGTAGCCTTAGAGGAAGTAGAATCGTTGCCTATCAAACTTGAAATCTTTCGTATTTGTCATACCCTCTTCTATGCTTTTGGTTTTTAATTATCATAAGCTAGCTATGAGTTCTCTCTGCTGTCTGAATGCTGGACCAAGCTACTCTACCATTTTTCGTCTATCTTTGTCTCCTCAACTGAGGCTTTGAGTAGTTAAACGTCCTTGTCTATTCTTGTCCTGTAACAACTTTACGCACCACAACGTATGTGGATATTTGAAGCTTTTGGTTAAGTGAAGAGATATATTACCATTATGGAGATGGTTTGCAATTTTGACCAAGTATTGCTATGGTTGCAGTCTATACCGGAAGTACACGTACTAGAAAAATTAGTAGTAGCATATATGAACATTGTGCTATGTCTTGTTTGCAGACATTTTGAATTTGCATATGATTATGCAAGCCGTGTATGTGAATGTTCTTAAGCTATTTCATTCTAGGTGTTGATACGAAACAAAAATTTTCATGTGGATAAGTAATTGACTATTTCTCATGCAGGAGCCACCATTGGTCAACATCCCAGAGGAAACAATAAGAGAAGCTTTGAGGGTTGTCCTTGGTAAGTTTGAAAGTTTGGATCTTATTTTCTCTCTTACTGTAGGTTTCTGTCCAGTAGTTTTGCTAAATGATTTCTCTATTACAATTTCACTCGGTTCTTTTTGTAGATGAAAAGAATCGACCTCTGTTAATTCACTGCAAAAGAGGAAAGGTATTCCTTCATTTCTCTTTTTTCTAAAATTTCTAGCTTCCTTATATATATAATCCACACAACATTCCTCTGGCCTTCATTTCTGTCATCGGTGTATATTATGCAGCACCGAACTGGCTGTCTTGTGGGGTGCCTCAGAAAATTACAGAACTGGTGCCTTACTTCAATTTTTGATGAATACCAAAGGTATGCTGCTGAAAAAGCTAGAGTATCAGATCTGAGGTTCATGGAGTTGTTTGACATTTCTGGCTTCAAGCAGCCGCCAACATTCTGTTCGCATACAAAGAATTAATTCGATAAGATGTACAGTACGGGAGGCAATTTTGGCGTTGCATTTTTAATTGAATCATTTGAGTCCAGTCCCATGAGCACTGGATTCCTCATATGAACTTTGTTTATGGTTTTCGCTAGTATCCAATTCTTATCTTTTGGATGTAATCTGTCTTTTTAGAAAGTAGATGGCATCTATTAGATGTTGCTATGATAAAGGGGCTCCTCCTCTGTTATTTTTTTGTGTTCACTAGATAGGGGATTGAGAGTTATAAAGTTGCATTATTTTGCTTATTAGAGGGAAGAGGGGAAGGTTGTTTTCTTCAGTTTGAACTGTAAGAACTTGGAACCCTGCCAAAAGGCGAAAGCTGTTATAAATTTGGATTTCTTCAGTAGATGGTCATGTGAAACTATGTTGCTCGGATCCTCCAAAAATATTGTCCGAACTCGTGTTGGATCCTCCAAGAGTGATGTGAACCTTCTCTCAAAACCAACTCACCTGGAATCAATCAATTGTAGTAGTATACCTTTTGTGTGCTTGTTGTGTTACTAATAAGCCCACAAGAAATTTGGTTTTAACTTGATTCCGGCCCAACACTCTTTGGTCTTTGCCCGTTTGAGTTGAAATACATTTTCGATCATGATACTACAAGCTATAGCCCAATCATGTTTAGATGCACAATACCAGCCAATTCAAAAGAGATAATGGTTTTTGATTGGATTCGAAGCCACATTAAAGTGATATAATTTTTCTTTTTAAAAAAAAAATATTTGGTCTGCAACAACAACAGCCTAATAATTTTCATTTTTGGGGTGGTTTGCACAAATAGGGCACTTTGGGTGCCGTTTTTGATTTTTTGATCTTGCTTACCCCATGGGTAAAACATCAAGTTTCACAAGTATTTTCCTTTTGCCCCTTGCTTGCCTATGGACAACCTTTTGACTTTTGATCTTAAAGGTTTGTCCGTAGGGCAAGCGGGAGTCAAAAAATTAAATCATTCATTTTAAGGTCATTGAGTGTAACTTTTTGAATCTTTAGTTCGAGGTTTGGATTTTGAAATGAATGATAGTAAAATATTTTATACATATATAAATTAAATACAAAAACAATACTTTAGTTACACTTTTTAGAAAAGATTGAACCAAAAGTCTCAACTTGATTGGCCAACCTCAAAATCTAAGTAACTTAAATTCATTAGAGAATCTAGCAGCAGCTAGTGGCAACGTTGTTGTCAAGTTCAAAGGGTTTGTTAAAAACAGACAAATCACTTTGACATCAGCTAAGATAGATTTGTCTTTTTCACTTTTATTTACTTGTTAGCTATGAAATTTTTCCCGACCACATGAAACGTATGTTATCCTAGTGTTTTTAGAATTATCAACTCTTATCTTGGGCTTCCCAATATATAAATAATTCAGGATTTTGCTATTATATTCTATTTCTTCTTCTTTTTGCATATGTTCTCTTTTAAAATTCACATATCTTTCCTTTCTTTTCCCAAGCTTTCTCTTAATTTTTGAGTTAACTTTCTGATTTAGAGTGAATTTTGGCATGAACACTTTCCAAAATATTATAATATCAAAATGTTAAATACATAAAGGAGGAGATAAAACATTACCTTTTCAAAAATAATACTACTCCATATACAAAAGACCAGGCTATATATTAAGGGCGGAGCTCGAGAGCGAGTTACGGGTTTGGTCGAACCTAGTAGCTTTGGTTCAAACTATGTATTTGTTTGATGAAATTCATTAAATATGTACAAATTATTAATTTAGAACCCAGTAACTTAAAAATAATTAGAATTCAGAATATATAAGCTTCAGATCCTGAATCCGCCTCTGGCTATATGAGTACCTTTATCAAAGGTTACTTGACTAGAGAAATTGTAGGGATAAATTGCCCTTTTACATTATCATGCACCTTAAAAAAAAATGCAAAAATAACAAAAATTCAACAACAATAACAATAATAAAATCCAGTGTATTCTCATAAATGGGGTCTGGGGAGGATAGTGTGTACGCAGACCTTAACTTACCTTATAGAGATAGAGAGGTTATTTTTGATAGATTCTTGGCTCAAAAAACCGTGAGAATAAAACAACAAGTAGCAAGCAAAAATAATAAATATATTTTATTAAATTTAACAAATGTCTCAACAAAGTAATCATTTCAAAGCGTGTTGCTGTTCATAGCCAGCTAATGCTTTTACTCTAAATCTAAAAGTTTGCTTTTGTTCCTTATCCAAGAAGGTGGATGTCACTTTTCTAAACTGCAAATTAACAACCCAAAGAGCAAGGTGCGATTACATGTAACAAATTATGCTTAACCTACAATTCAGTTACTATAATTATAATTTAATGGGTCATTTGGGTCAAAATCAGGTTATTTCTTGGATTATAATTCTGGAATTAAGATTATGATAGATAATCTCACATTCTATATGGGACATATAATTTCATGATTTTGATATATAATTTTATCCTTACTTTTTCTAATATCTATATAATCAAATATCGGATAAATTTAGTTTCAAATTTTATATAGGAATAATTTCCCTAATCTCTGTAACCAAATGGGCACTAAAACTTTTACCAAGCGTGTTAAATCAACAACAACAACAATAAACCTAGTGGAATCTTATAAGTGGGATTTAGGTAGGGTAATGTGTACCCAGACCTTACTTCTACCTTATGAAGATGGAGAGGTTGTTCCGATATACCCTCGGCTCAAGAACACTAAAGCAAACAATAACCAATTAATAGCAACAACAAGGTAAAAGACAGTGGAAACAAATGGCACAAAATGTGTAATGTACTAGAATTATTAAGAAAGAAATTGAAGAAGAACTAGTAAAAACATGATTTTGTTATTCAATTGTTCAATTGATTGAATTACAACAATAATGAATATGAAAGAGCTCCTGTATCCACCTGAAAAATAGAAGAGAGGAAGAAGTTAGAGATATGAACAAAGAGAGAGAGAAGAGAGGTGAGAGTGTAACAGATTTACCAGAATCCAAAATTGATAACTGCTCCACCCAATTCTGTTATTTATTTGCTGGTATTGACTAGTAATTGGGCTGCTAACTATGGACTGCTAACTTCTCATAATTGGGCTTGTTATTTGTGACTTAGGTCCAATACACAGAATAAGCCCACTACACCAGTTCAGACTCAATCTTACTTATCCACTTCTCATATCCCCTTCCTTAATTCATTTCTTCACTTTCCTAATTCAGCCACCTCAGACATAACAAAATGCTATAATCACGAACAAAGAGCACAAAAATACAAGACTAGTGCCAACTACGTGTGTGTAAACCAAGCCCTACATAACTTGATTCACCAATCGAAGCCAAATCCAATATGAAGATACTACTAGCGTGACTAGGGGTGACAAAATAGTAAAAAAAAACAGTTAACCACCCATATTATCACTAAAAAATGGGTTGGATATTGAACTTTTTTAAAAACAGGTCAAATATGGATAAGAACTATATTATCCATTTAGAAAATGGATAACCAATAGGTAACCAATGGATAACCTGAGTCTGACTTTTACATTTGTAAAGCCTCAAATTGAGGGTTCCTCAAGTTAGGAAGACTAAAAATTCTCCCAAAAATGATCATATGCAAGAAGGCATGGTCATATTATCCGCCGGTTAATCCCTTTTTTTATCCATATTAAATATTGATCGGGTTGGATAATTTATCCGTTTTTTCATTACTCATTTTCGACCCGAACTATATCCGATCCGGCCCGCCCGTTTGCCACTTCTAAGCGTGACTAAGGCCTCAGTTATTTTTTTTTAAGATTAAGACGTCTGAATCTGAATACACATATGAATAACAAGATGATATTAAGTCTGAATCTGAATACACATCTGAATATATTAAGATGGGTATTAAGATCTGAATAGAAATAATTAAGACTGCTTGATTTTTAACATCTGAATGTATAAAATTTATCTTTATTTGAAAATTAATAAACATAAAATTCCAATGAAATAACTAATCTAATATTCTATCGATAAAATATATAGCTTTTTAGAATATGATAGTTGTTGATGGCTAATGGGTGAATGCCGACTACAGGTGGTGGTTGGTGGTAGTTTTGGTTGATGACGGTGGTTCATACTAGTAGCTATTAGTGATTAGTAGTGATGGCAATTATGATTGATGGTGGTGGTGGTGGTTGATGATAGTTAATAATGGCGGGTGGTGGTAATAGTTGAGACTGAGGAAGGTGGTGAGTGGGTGGTGGTAGATTATAATGATAGGCAGTGCCGGCTGTGGTTGTTGATGGTGCTGGGGTGGTCAATTGTGATAGTTGAGATGTATGAGTGTTATTGTGGGTGAGAATGATGGTGGTAAGAGTGGTGGGGATAACGGGTGGTGATGGTCGATAATGATGGCGTCTATAATTGAGTATGACGGTGGCGTAGTGGTAGTGAGGGTAGTGGTGGTGGTCGGGTATGATGGTGGCAGGCGGCATGGTGGTAGTTGATAATGATACGCGGTGGGGGCAATTAATAATGAATATATGATAGCATCTTAATGAAATTAAGTCTCTGTTATAGATCTTAATCATACAGACCTATCCAGACCCATTAAATGATTGTGAAGTAAAAAAACAAATACACTTAATGATTAATATCTGAATAATTAAAATTTAGACTTTAAAAACAACTGAATATTAAGATTCAGACTTCCATTAAGTGCAAACAAATGAGGCCTAATAAGAGATATCATGAGATAACTGAAACTCTTCTATCGTTAATTAGAGGATTCTCGTTCTTAAAAAAGTTATAATTAAATTTTTTTTTGAATAAAGAATCTCAATTAGTTAGAATAGTAAATTTCAGCTATATAAAATATTAATTGAAAAGAAAGAAGATTCTACTCGGGGGTGTATGTATCACATAAGTGACGGGTAAAATTGTCTCTATAATTTTCGATATGGAACATAAATTTATGTATAAAAATCTATTAAAATTATAATAAATAATAAATATAAACCCATAATTTTAAAAATATACTTAATTCAATACTAAAAATCTTAAAAATTAAACCCATAAAATTTAAATAGTGGATCCGCCTGCCAATCTCATCATAAAATCACAGATCTCAGTTACAACTTACAAACACGATCACATATCCCACCCAGCTACCCTCGAAACCCCTGACCAAACGAGTTTATTCCTGCGCATATTCTTGCCACCCTCCATCTCCGGTCACCCCCCAAAAGTACTAGTATTAAAACACCAAGTACTTGCCACGTTCATCTCCATTCGCCCCAAAAATTAAGACAAAATTTATTTATTTATATATATATATATATATATATATATATATTATTGAAATATTATTTCGAAAAACCAAACATTTTTCGT